GAATCTGAATCTGAATCCGATTTCGAATCTAAATCTGAATGTGAATGTGAATTGGAATTAGAACCCAGACTGGGCTCAAATACATCAAGTGCTTCTTCTGGCTCAGTGGGGTGGACGGCGTATTCCTTGGGGACCTGTTTACTGCTGAGCGCCTTGATCTGTTTCGCAGCCTTGGCGCGGCCACTCCTCCTTAATTGGGTCAGTCTAGCGTGAGCCTCTGGAGTTCCCACACGCGAGATCTCAGGATTCAAGGCATTGGCCGCAATAGTATCCGCAGTAACGCGATTGCCACCGCGAGGCTTGGAGTTAGCTGCTCGTTTCTTGGCCCGGCTACCAAGCCGCTTGAAACACTTGATGAGATTCCATGCCCGTTTGGGGACAAGGGTCTCGAGAATACTGTGACTGTGGAAGGGCCCGTTAGCTTGTTTGAAGAGGTTAAACATAACCACCCTTAGCGTGGAAGCATACATCTTAACTTCTGACAGCATTTTAAAATTATGGAACTTCATCAGCGTGCCTTTAAAACGATAAGTCCTCTGGCGTCGGTCATCCGCAATGGTGTTAAGAACTGTCTGCAGGTTGGGTCCTTTAGCGTTGCCAAAGCGGGAAAAATAGGCGCGCTGGAGTCGACCAGTCGCCTTGCGGAATTCATGATTGCTCTTGATCACGTCTAGAAGCTCGCCCTGGGTCGCATTGAAATACGGAGCCAACTGTGTGATACTCTGTGTAGCCGCATACGGAATGATTTTGCTAGTCTTAGTGTCCCGCCTCATTACTTTAATGTCCTTTAAGTTTTGGTCCGATTTAGCAAGCTTGTCAGCGATGGACTTCTTGATAGCTTCGGCCTGGGCTTGCTCCTCTAGCTGTTTGTTCTTGAAGAATGCGTCCATGGCAGGATCTAGTTCAACCCCATGGTAATCTTGAAACTTGGAGGAATGGCGAATTGGGGAAGCTGACCAGGATATAGAATTGGTGTCTAGATATGGCGAAAGGCTGCGGGTTTGGATCTGACCACGCTGCTCCCTAGGCTCTGCCTGACCATAGCTGGAAGATGCACCTGGATCCATAACCCTGTTACGATGTTAGCTAAGCCTAAACCTAAACAGGTATGAGTTCACTAGGGAACTTAATAATGTTATAAAATATGCGGGATATGTACCAGGGTAAAGAGTTAGGCATAAGCACTAATTAGAGGGGGGGAGAGGGATAAGTACCAAAGGGGAAGGGGGTTTAGCCTTAGGTACTGGTACATAAAACCAAACCTCCCCTTTCCCCTCTATTGGCTCTAGCCTAGGCATACTGCAATGAAAAGTCTAGCAAATATGGAAAACACTTACTAAATCTTAGGGGCCTGGCCCTAATATTAGACTTGGCTGTTTCTGACTGGTTCCTGGGCAGGTTTGTTGGAGTGCAATGGGT